TGTTGGGAGCCGGCGACCGCACCTTTCCCCTGGCGCTGGCCTCCTGCTCCTTTGCTCCCAGGGTGGGTGGGTGGGTCGGTCCGTGGATGGATCATTCCCTCACTTGGACGGTCGGTGGGGGGCTTCTGTCCGTCGTCCTCCCTCGCGTCCGTCCACTGCCTGGGCTCCTTGCTTGGGTCTTGGCTCTCACCCCTCTCCCCTGCGACTGTGATACTGCCTGGAGTCCTCCTGTCACCCTCTTCCAGGTCCCCGTCCCTTGCCTGGCCCCCTGATTGCCTAGGGGGCCAGGGCGCCTTTTGGGAAACAGACCTCCCCCTCGCCGGGGCCCCTTGCCCTGCCTGGACCTTGGGTCCTGCACCCTGAACCTGGACTCCTTCTTGTAGATCTAGCTGTCAGCCTGTTTCTCCCTTTCATGCTCAACCCCCTTCCTTCTCCTCTCCTTGCACACTGGTTAGCCTAGTGCCCTAATCCTTAGCCTGTGGCTGTCGTTTTTTGGCCTGGTTGTTGACTTGAGTGTGTGCTGTGTCTTGTGGCTCACTGTGATTGTATTTTTTTGGAAGCCTGTGTTTCCATTGCCTTCACCACCCCTTTTTAGTTAACTGTCACTGTTCACTTCATGGAGGTCTCTTCCTCTGGTTTCAGTCCTTTGCTGTACCTTCCCTCTCCTGCCTTTAGTGTCTCTTGTTGCTTTGTGTGACTTTAGGGTTGACAATGTTCTCTTTTCTTATACCTCTTTGTTTTTTCTTCTCCTCCATTCTGTTAATGCCTGTTGCTTGTAATCTCTTGCTTTTTTTCTTCTTGCTGTGTTTTTTCTTCTCTGTCTTAACCCAGCAGACATATTTTATTTTATCATTGATATGTTTAGGTGAAGTGCCTCATCAAGATACATTGATATTTCATGGGAGAAATGTCACTTGATTCATCTTGAACCCCATGCTTGAAAATATTCAGTATTTAGTTTACGTTTTATAAACAGTATGTGAATTCAGAAAATACAGAGAGTATATGCTATTTATCTAATCAGACCAGTTTCAGGTATTTTTGTTTCATTCTTAAGCAATTTTATTCTACCATTAATTCCTTTGAGGCAATGCAGTTTGTTGAAAATTCGGACAAGGACACCTGTGAGCCTATTATTGGAATGAATCAGGAGAAATGAAGGCCGAGAGGAAGGACACATTTTTTTCCCCTTTAGAAACAATTTTTAGGTCTCCTCTTTCCCTCCTTGCTTTAAATACCTACACTCCCCCTGGGGAATTTTGGTAGAGCTGCCAATCACAGTATGGTATCATTGGAATACAGCTAATGGTCCACATTCTGGTATAATGAGCATATTGTTTCCCTCCCTCCAATTATGAGTTTTAGTGGACTTGATAGAACCCAATCATGCCAAAATTTGTGAGAAGAACCAAATTGTAATTCAAAGATGAAACATCCAGAATTTCATAGCAGAGGAATGATTACAAAATTTTTTTTTTTTGGGCTGGCGATGTGGCTCAAGCGGTAGCGCGCTCGCCTGGCATGCGTGCGGCCCGGGTTCGATCCTCAGCACCACATACCAACAAAGATGTTGTGTCCGCCGAGAACTAAAAAATAAATATTAAAAATTCTCTCTCTCTCTCTCTCCCCCTCTCTCACTCTCTCTTAAAAAAAAAGGAATGATTACAAGGTACAAACTCATAGTAATTTTAGACAGGTCACAAAATACATGATATACTGCAATTGAAATGATGGCCAAATGAAGACAATTCCTTCAATGTTTATTTTCCTTCCTTCTTTCCTTCCTTCCTTTCTTCCTTCTTTCTCCCTGCTCTCATTTTTTGGTTCCTTTCTTGACATTGACCCATACCATTTACAATGGCCTGTCCATGGATGGTAGTAGCCATTGGAGGCCAAGGAAGTGTGTTAAGCTGGGACATTGGCTACATAAGGGGATTGAGCACAGAAGCAAATATATTGAAGATGTTAGGCTGGGCTCTTGAAAGAGAAGTCAATACAAGTATGGCAGAAGGGGAGACCTGAATGGAGATGAACTCTGGAGTGAAATGCAATAAGACATTTAATCGAAAATGTAAATAAAAGGCACAAGGCAAATAGCAACACCCCAGCATAGTGAAAAGACCCTAGCATCCAGTCTTTGATTTCTAAACATCACTCTCACTACAAACATCCAAACCTTCATAGAGGAATGGCGAATCTAGAGCTAAGAAAAGAAAGAAAAAAAAAAAGGAAAGAATAGTTATAGCATGTTTGTGTGCCATAAAGGAAGGAGCTAATATAAGATAAGAATGTCAAAATCCTGATGGGTTCCTACTGTCCACATATGGGAAATTTTGTGCATCCAAAGAAGTACTCATGTGGATATATTCACATTAAAATAAACCATGACTAATAGGAATAGCCAAAAAGAAATAGAAAGAATTTTATATTTGAATGTATAATAAAAATGATAGAAGAATTGAAGCAATTGAAAAATCACATCTCCTTATCCATCATACCAATAATAATTAAGTAAGTGCTGAATCTAATATGAGAATGTGGGATGAGGAATGGGAGATTTCAATGGTCCTCAATTTTCTCCACACAATCAAATGATTAATTCCAAAGTAAAGCATTAAAAAGAGCAACTTTGGCAGAAACCATTTTTGTCAAGTGGTCGAAAGTAATGTTATCAATTCTGAGAGCAATTTGCTCATGTACTATGTGATAGGAGGCAGTGAGGAGAATAGCAGCTCTCTTCTGTGATAATTTCATTCAGATTGCATAATGAGGTTCTCGTCAGGAAGAAATATCAAACAAAACCACAGTGAGAATCATTCTACAAAAAGAATGTCCCTTAACTCTGGAAATGTTAATATCAGGAAGGTCAAGGAGAGAAAGATACTGCTCCAGATTGAAGGAAATGAGAGAGAATTGACAGCTGGGTACAAAATGAGATTCAATGATGGATGTATTCATTAAGAAGGAAGTGATTGGAAAATTGGCAAAACTTGAGAGCTCTTTCAGTGAAATTGATTTTAAATTTTCAAGAGAAAAAGAGCAGTTTAAAAAATGACTAAAAAAATTCTCCCTGAGTTTCCAGTTTTCTCTATTATCTCATGTGTGTGCCTTTAGAAGGAGCAGGGCAGTATAGTGCTTCCTCTACTTGGCTAGTTATGTTTCACTCCAAGTAATCATAGAAATTGGAAATAGGACATTTAGTTAGACATACCGTTATGGTGTGAGACATCCCTGAAAAGATCCTTCGTTAATGCATTCATATTTGAGGTGAAATAGTTAGATTAAAAGAGCTGTAACCTAATTAGTCCATCCTGTTTGATGGACTAACTGGGTGGTAACTATAGTCAGGTGGGGCATAGCTTATGGACATGGTGCACTGGGGATTTTCCTTGGGAAGATGCTTTGCTTCTTCCCTTTTGTTTTGGATGTGTGGTGTCCGCCAAAAGCTCATGTGTTAGTCTATGCAAGAAGGTTTAGAGGATAAATTATTGGGTTCTGAGAGTCTTAAATCAATAAGTGAGTTAATTCCCAGATAGTATTAACTGAGTGGTTAGTGAAAGTAGGTAGGGTGTAGCTAGCGGGGGTGGGTGTTGGGGGCATGTCTTTGGGGTATATATTTTAAATCTGGCCCAATGGAGTCTCTCTCCGCTTCCTGATCATCGTGTGATCCACTTCCCTCCACCCGACTCTTCCACCATGATGTTAACCCTGATTGTGAGCCTGGAAGAATGGAGCCTGCTGTCTATGGACTAAAACCTCTGAAATGGTGAGCCCCCCAACAAAAGTTTCCTCCACTTAAATTGTCTTGTCAGGTACTTTTAGTCAGTGAAAAAGCTGAATAAAACAGACCTTTCCCTGTCATGCAGAATTAGGGCAGGACACAAGAGGATAAGTCAAACTAGTTGGAAGCAGAGGACTTTCAATTTCCCAAAGAGCCAGACCAGCATGACAGGTGGCTGGGCAATCTACATAGTAGAACTCAAGGCAATAGCCTAGACAGATCCCCTACGAAATAAGAGGTTAGGAACACTACCTGGGCAGTCCCCATGTGGCCCAGATCTTTGCTCTGATTGGGATGCATCCATGTAAACTTAGGAAGATTTAGGAGCCCAAAACTTGTGCTGAGACCCATAGAATTTGATATTGATGAATATGAGTCAGTTCCACATCCAGTGGACAGGGACAATAGAAGTTTCCCTTGCATGACTTGCTCCTCTAAGATTCCCAAGAATGGGGAGGCCTGAGGTTAGAGTCGGGGTTTGTCTGTTACAAGGAATTATGGAAAGCAGGGATTAGATGATTAAAACTGACTCTTAAAATGACTTACAGCCATTATAATATTCACTCCCCAAGTGAGCACAGGTGGGACCCCCAGTTTTCTCACTTTTGAAAATCATGATCCTTCCTATAGCTTCCCTGCTTTTTGGACCACCAGGGATGCAACAGTAAAACCTGAGAGATTTTTGTTATTTGGGCTTATGCACTTTATGAATGTCTCTTGAATTTTTCTTTTTCCCAGAAACAGTAGTTTATACAGATAGCAGCTTTTGGGGATGTTCTTTCAACTTTGTCACTCCTCTAAGTAGGTAACATGTTAATCTGATGTTGATAGTGTTGGCCATTGAGACAAACTGACCAGTCCTAATGGAGGCCTGTGTGGGCCTCTGTGGCAGCAACTGTACACACACTTCTTTCAACATCCACATGGTTCTCCACTTTCCAGCTTTCAGATGCAAAGTCAAAACCAACTTAATATCTGAAGGGAAAATCCCTGGTGATCAACAGGTTGGATGTTGTAATCTTTGTTTGTTGAAATTTTCCCTGCTATAGTTTAAATAAAAGATATGGACAACATATATCACTTCAGTAGGTAAAGGTGAAAATCTGAATGAAAGAACTTACTGTTTAGGCTTGATTTTTTTTTTTTGAGGAGGTTTATTTTTTCCCCCAGATATCTATAACCAAAGTAAAGTCTGGACAGATAGGTTTTACTGGGAATTGAAAAGATATCTATTGAGATCTGTTTAAATTTGAGGCATAATGGCGAATAGCATACAACAATAACCACGTAAAGACCTAAAACACAAATTCATAATGCCTGGAATATTTTTCAAGAGAAATCAAAATTAAAGTATAGAATAAAATAGTATGAAATAAGATCAGTAGACCAAAATCTTATAATCAGACTTCAGTTTCAATAATCTTGATAGTATGGCTTAAATAATACTCTTTCATGACACCAATATTATCAGGTAGAGGGAGGGAATGCCTTTTTGAAGTTCCACCTTTTCTGTCTTTGTTCCCAAACTAACTTTTTGTTCAGAAAAATAGAATCTTACTAACTCTTTGCATTGTCTGCCCTGGAAAAACCAGGAACTGCCAAACCTAGTACCATTAGAAAAATGTTTTAAACCAAAACTCTTAAATATGAGGGGGTAATCTTCCCCTAATTCATTTAGATGACTTTGCTCATGGCTGTGATATTATAACCAGAGGCGAACAAGCATTTTTCAATTAAATAAATAGCTGAGAATTGAAGGATTCATTTTACCATGTGGAACTAAGCAAAGAGACCAGTACATGTTTATTTCAAGCAAAATAACAAGTTGTAAATGAATGAAAATCACTTGAAGGTCTGGGTAAACCAAGGATCATTTTATGTAATAGTGTAATAGGATTATGTTTCACAAGTAATAAGTACCTTATCCTTACAATCTCCCTAAAATTCACTTGAATTTCTTGTACCCAGTATGCTGCAACAGACAACGCTGGAGTCTGGCCTAACAGATGCTTTTCTAAAGAGTGGAGTTCACTTGAAAGTCAGAAGAGGTAAAGAGTTTTAATTTGTAAATTCTGTATCTACCACTAGTTATGTGACCATAACAACCCATACAAAAGTTTCTAATTTCTATGATTATTATCTGTAAATGGGATGATGCCCTTTGCCTGGAGGAAGCAACTTGGTTACTTCCTGGGAGGGTCTCTCCCATGTTGACCAGGTCTGTAAGTTCACATGGTGTGCACAAGTATATGACCACACACTGAGGAGGAGCTGTCTGGAATGCTCAGGGATCCCTGTGCTATGTAGCTTTCAAACTTCAAGAGTCTACAGGTCAGTAAAATTCAAAGAAGATGAAAGATGATAGATGTAAGGTTAGAAATTTTTGTGATTATAAACAAAATAAAAAACACCAAGAAGCGGAGAGGAGTGTTAGCTTAGTGAGAGTTGGTTTACTGATGAAATTTCCCTTTGGTAAATTAAATTTAATTATAAATAAATTTTTGAAGTTTTTAAAATCTATCTCCTATATTATGTGATCTTGATTATGTCATTTATGACCAATAGTGATATATTTGTTCTCTAAAAGACTAGAAATTCAGCTTAAGCTAGCTTCTACATTTATGTTGTGTCTGGAAAAGCAAATGAATATAGACTAAAACAGAATGTGTTGTGAAATGATGTGAATTTTTTTTTTAGTGACAGAAAATCTATGAAGTTTCAATCAGTTTTCACAATATTGGCTTGTGATAACCTCATACAACATCCTAGACATCCCAGTATGTTTATCTGGGCAGCTGTTTCATGAGGTATAGGTGAACACTAGTAGAATTGATTTGCTTAATTTTCTGTTGATATTGCATTTACTGTAGTCTTTTTATTATACAATTGTTATGCCAATGGATATACTGCTGGTTATATTCAAAGCATGACTATCCCTCTATGACTATATCAGTGAGAACAAAATGAAAGAGACAAAGGATTGAGATACGAAACTTTTAAAAAGCCTCTGATAAAAAGATTACCACTAGAATGTACAAGGCTGCGAAGAGACAGATGAATTTTAAGTACATAATATCAATGGCAGGGCAGCAAATCTGAACTCTTCAAAAGGTAAGGTGGAGATCCACAGGTATCCCAAATGAAGATATGTATCAGCAAGCATTATGATGAATTTTAACACTTATATGAACCACAAATTTTGATATATATATTTTTTTATCATAAGATGTAGGATCATAATATGTATACAATAAAATGGAAGAACGGGTCTGATGAAATTTATGTATTTAGTATAACACTTGAATAATGCTTTAGGAAAATAATTCAAAATTTTGTTTTCAGTACTTGACTGCCCTCCCTTTTCCTTTTAAGCCATATGTCTTGATATAAGTACTTCTTTATACAAAACTATTTATTAGTGAACACTCTGAAATCATGGTAATTAATTTTTAATGACAAGTCTGAAATACATAATGTACAACAAATCCATTTATTATGTAGTAGTTGTGTCCAGTTTCACAGGAATAATTGCAATTTAATGCTACTGAAGAAGAGCTACTGCTTTTCATCTTTCCTCCAACTTCTCTTCCTGTGCCAGTGGTCTACCTGCATCACAGCCTATCCAGTTGAAGGGTTTATGACTATAGAACATCACATGGTGATGGTTAAATAGAATGTAAACCTTAACCATTAATGGGAAAGACAACCCAGGATGTAAAATTTAGAATTTTTCCACATTCAAGATTAACTGTTTCCTGATTTGACTTTTTTTAAAAAAATGTAATAAGTTATATGGGCACAAATCACCAGCCACTTGAAGATTGAAGCAGGAATGAACTTTATTTTTAGAACGCACTCCGCTGGCTGCCCTTGGGAACTCTCCAGGAACTCTCCAGGAACTCTCCATGGGCTCCACCGGAACTTCAGGAACCTTGGGAGCAATCAACTGGAACTCAACCAGCGAATTCCATCCTCGGGAACTCTCTAGGAACTCCAAGAGAGCTCAACCAGAACTCAACCAACCCATGGAACTCTCTAGGAACTCCGCAAGAGCTCAAAAATAGCAGGCACCTGAGGCAGCAGGAATCGCTCCTTCTGGCAAAATGCCAGGCACCATCTTGACCTGGCCGTGGCTCTCAACAGTTATATCGTGTTATAAAATAAGTAGGCATTATTAATAGTTTTCTCTGTTAGCCAAGAATCCCACAAGAAAGGCACATTGACTCGATGCTACAATATTTTAAAAGTACTATAGCATCAAACTTGTGTTTTTGTGAAAAAAAATTAAAAACCACTAATGCAAAATCAGTTTCACCAAAGCAATTTCATTTCCCTGCATACTGCCCTGATTAGATGAAAGCACTTTATTTGAGTGATTGGGAACTGAACAGTGGTACTATAACTTGAGCCACACTGAAAGAAGGTGGTGGAACCTGTTGTTTTGATAGTTTCTACATGGTGACAGCTATATTGACTTCAGCTTCAAAACTGTCACAAGTGTGTCTTCGACCTCACTTATTTTCCTGGGCTTCAATTCCCCGTACTAATTTCCTGTTTAGATGCTGTTGTATCATAATCTTAAAATCAATGTATCTGAGAATAATTTTATTATCTTCTATTCAGATCAAATATTCTCACAATCTGCTTTTTAAAGGACCCATGCCAGCCTCGAAGTTAACAATAAACTTCATATTGTGGCATTTTACTCTTAATTTTACTAAGTTAGTTCTTGTTTTTTTTTTTTTGTTTGTTTGTTTGTTTAAATTGGGGCCAGGGATTGAACCAAGGGACCTTAGCCACTGAACTATATCCCTAGCCCCTTGTTTTAATTTTTGAGACAATTTTTTTGCCAAGTTGCCTAAGGCCTTACTAATTGTAGGGGCTGGCTTTGAATTTGTGATCCTCCTGCCTTAGCCTCCCTAGCCATTAGGTTGTTTCATTCTTTTTCTCAACCCCTTCCTCATGTAGTCTACATCCCTCTTTCAATAGTGTCTCTTGATTAACTTAAGCCAAAAGCACATTTGATACTTTGTGCCATGGAGATTGGTTGAAGAATAGGCAGGTGACTAGAGATGGTAGCAAATATTTTTTTAGAGGTTTCTCAGAAAAGCAGCTTCAATATCCTGCAGTGGAGATAGTCTCTTTCTCTTGGAAATTAGGGGCAACATAGACATAATCCTTCTAAAGTTGCTACTGCTTTCTTATAGCTGAAAAGAATGTAAATTTAGGTTTAAGCAGAAAGCACAGGAGAAATGAAGAGAAACTAGATTTTGAGTGACATTGTTGAACCACTGGATCATGACTGACCAGAAACTTATTCTTTTTCGGATTTTACATTCGTTAGTAAAAGTGTTGCCAGTGTCATTTGAGGTAGTTTAAGTCATGTATTTTGTTTCTTGCAACCTAAACATTCCTAAAAAGTACGTCTTTCAGTTTGTGGTTTCCTTTTATGGGGATCATACCATTCATTGGTTTATTAGGTGGTTTATTCCAATCTATGTTATAATGGAATATGTTTCTTACTTTCTTTCAGGCCAGAAGTTTGGAACTTTCAAAGCTGTACACCAAGTGTGTTTATGATATCCATTCCACACTGGAGGTGACCTTGCTTATCTCTCATTCCTTTATACAAGCAGATTTCATTTTATTGCACTTTGCTTTACTGCATTTTTTGAAATATTTTATTTTATTTTATTTTACAGATGAAGGTTTACAGCAGCCCTGCATCAAGAAGTTGATTATCACCACTTTCTGAACAGCTGGGATGATGATTAGCCTTTTTACCAATAATTTTTAGATTAAAGTGCATGTACTGGTTTTCAGACATAATGCTATTACTCACATAACAGGCTCATAACTTTTATATGCACTGTGAAACAAAATTTCAATGTGTACTGGGAAACCAAAGAATTGTGTGTGCTAATTTATTGCATTATATGCTTCATTGTAGTGGTCTGGAGCAACCCACTATAGCTCTGAAGTATGCCTATATATTAAATTAATACTAGTCTGAATTGAGACTAAAAATTTAAATAAGTCATTCATGGAAAGGTAAAGAAATAAAAGCATTCCAGGGAAAAGGCATAGCTTGTGAAAAGTCATAGAATTATGAATAGTACATCCTATTTTCTTTTTTTAATGAATTTTTAAAAATGTTTATGTTATTTATTTATATGTGGTGCTGAGGATGAAACCCAGGGCCTAACACGGGATAGGCGAGTGTTCTCCCACTGAGCCACAACCCCAGCCCCACACATGTCATTTCCAAGAAACTTCTGGCTGTTCCCTAAGGTGAGTGCAGAAGACACACATTTTCACAATCAGCACCCGAGAACCAAACGGAGTGACCTGTTGCCAAATTTGTTGTTGTCTTTCTCAAGGTTTGTTTAAAACCAATCAACAAAATTAACAACCATAAAACAAACCTTTGCTGTGATCCCAACTTCCCTTTTATTCTTCTCTTCATGCTGAGTTGGTGTCCAAATTTTATCATTTATTACTTTGTAATATCTAGCTCTTTAAATTGTGTTGATTTCTATTCCCACCAGTACGTTTCCCTAAACAGGGAGAATACTAACTCTTAAGTAAACTGCATTGAATCCTATTCTGTCTTCAGTTCTGACCCATATTCAAAGAATATAATTGGCTTCATTAAGTATTATAAAAAATATTTTGGCAATTAGAGAGATTATTGTTGATATTTAAGGATCACAATGAAAATTCATCTACAAGGTCTTGAATGTGAAGTGAATTGTTAAGGAGAAGAGGGTTTAAGTGCCTACGCATTTTTTAAAATTTATTTTTTCGTTGTAGTTGGACGCAATACCTTCATTTTATTTATTTTTAGGTGGTGCTGAGGATCAAACCAAGGGCCTCTCATGTGCTAGGCGAGCACTCTACAGCTGAGCCACAACCCCCGCACCCTAAGTGACTACTTTTTTTAAAAAAGTAGGAAATTTCATTCTTTCTAGTAAAATGGGAAACTCAAGAAATGGTAAGCTACAGAAATATCCAATTGTGTGCTTTCTGTTGGTTTGTTTCACTTTGGAAAGCTATTTTGCCAAAAGTATATGTTCTGAGAAATACAGAACTCTGATCCCATAATTAAGCAATTGTCTTTCAGTGGGAAACCAGGCTCTGTGTACTCTAAGCCACCTTGCTTTGCTGAGACAGGGATTCTGCACTTTATTTTTGCCATCTGCATTCTCTTTTCAGGTTCCAATGTTGGGAGCACTAAAAGGAGAATGGAAGCGTGTAGGAGACAGTGCGGCTATCCCCCTTTGAGCTTCCTACTTGTCTGCCTGTCCTTCCCATGAGCATCATCTGTCCTTGCTTCTTCACTCCAGTCAGCAGCAACTAAAGGCAATTCAGTTTTCTCATTTTCTGTGAGTTATTTTCACAGTGTATACTCAGAAACACTGAAATCAGTCAACTAGTCCTCTAGTTTTACTAGAGGGCTCTAGTAAAGCCATTATTAGGCCCTTTGGATCTCTCTTCAGTTTTAATAATTATTACAACTTAATTTTTAATTTTAATAATTATTAAAACTTAATTTTTAACTCTGTGATAGCTCTGAGTTCTGTTTTGCACTGTTACCTAGCTAATAACTTTTTACTTAGTTAACAATTATTTTTAATTCTCTAATTAGTACACAGAATTCAAGTAATGAAGCAGGACCAGGAGGGTCCTATAT